TTCCTCGGGAGCTTTCTGCACTGCAGAGATGCATGAGAGAGGGTTTTTTTCCAGAGCGGGTGAAGGGAAGTGAAGGATAACATTGATTTTAAAGAAGGAAAAGATTTTACTGTATCTGCAGCTCCTTTATGAGACAATTTGCACTTTTAAAAACTGCTTTTTAACACTAATACTTTAACCCTTTCCAAATATGCATGGAACATGGTTTGTCCAGCACACTTACCTAGTGTGGATGAGTTACGCTCTGTTGAACAGATTTGATGGTGTATCATGTTGAACTGTTGGTGAAAGATGTGCATTGATCAGTGGATCCCACCGTGGAGTAGTGGATAATCTTCACTGAAGCAGACTTAATCCCTCTTGGAGCTTTCAAGAAGAGAACATACAGATTGTCTCTGGGTAGGAGGACGAAGGCGTTAGTGACTTTGGTTGTTGACACTTCTGATATTTTCTAGAGTAAGTAGTTGAGATGCAAATAACTGATGCTAACTTTTCTTATACTGGCAATCTAAGAAAAGTGCTAGTGAGTTTGGTTTAATGTTAAGTTAAACCAAAAACTGGTCCAAGGTAAGTGTCATTAGAAGAGTATAGATATAAACTAGCAATGGCAGGGGAAGGAGTGTTTGCTGTATTTTTATTTTTAAGGGTTAACTTTGCACCAGTGTGCCTTCCCTTCCTGTTGGGGGTGCTTGGAACCTCATAGTTGCAAGTGACATCCTTCAATGTCACTGTTTTTTCCTCCCCCTTACAAACACTTGAGAGAAATAACAGGGTAGTAGAATTCAGCTTTTATTTCTTCCCTGTTCAGGTTGTGGTGAAATCTGCTACACTTTCCAGTAGATTTTGCACACAGACTTTGTTCTGAATAAGTCAAAATACAATCCATGCAGTTGTAACTTCTTAATTGGAGGAAAAGAACATCTGCTGTCTGCATTATTACTACCAAAAAGGCAATCCAGCTAAATGTCCAGGAAAACGCAGATGTACTCTTTCCTCTACTGTTTCTGGAAGCTAAGGTGGATATTGCCCTGCTTGACCAGAGGGTTTGTTCAGGAAGGTATCTAGATTTGGTGACAGGCCCTTTTCATGGTACTGTTGCAATAAAATTGTGATTCTAGGCAAACTGGCTTCTAATGCCCATTGGTCCTCATATGTGAGCAGGATCCAAACAGCGTTTAACCTGATGGAAAAAACAGCCTTCGCTTCTGGTTTTGGTCCCTGTCCGCGTAATAGGATCAGACTGTTGGAAGTACGGTATCGCTGTAACAACATTGAAACAGTTCAATGGAAATGACAACACGGTTTAGATGTACCGAGAGGTGCATGGGTGGGGCTGGGCTTTGCCTTGATGCCCTTTAACATGTAGCTGTCTGTGTATGCACTTGGGCTTTCCATTTGCTGCAGCTTCAGAGCAATAAAATGTATCTCCCTGAACTGTACCTAGCCAGCCGCCCATGGCTTTATTTATAAACTGCGGTTTTGGTTGGGTAGGAAAGGTGAGAGCGTCACTGTGCAACATCCACTGCCTTCCAAAAACCACCATTCAATTGAAAAGGGTGCTCAAAATTTTGTTATACACATTTCCTTTGTGTAAATAAATGTTTACAATTTTATATTAAAGATTTGAATAAGAGTTAGATCTTCTGACTGTATATTTTTTACTTTTTATAGATTTTAAAACTATAATTCTTTATATATGTGTTTGGGGGGTATTATGGTAAGTTTTATGCTTGTAAATGGAGAACAGTTGAATTTGATGCTAACCTTTATGAATTTTTGTCATTGAAATGTATAAAGAGTCCAATAATCCCCTTATTCTTTTACTACGATTACTGGTGCACACCAAAAAGAAATCCTTCACTTCTGTTTTATCATTATAAAATAAATATTTTGCTAGTGTATTAAACTTACATGGTGTGACTTTATACATTTGTGTGAGCTGCACAGAGTTCAGCGCTGCTGTTCCTAGTGAGATGGTTGCCTTCATCCCAACACACAGCTTTGGTCAGCCCCTCCCTGCGGCTCAGATTCTTCGGCTGTGTCTTACCAGTTCGTACAGTTTCAGAAAGTCTGTTGAAACAGGCCAGAACTGGATAGAGGGGCCTTAGGAAAATTTCCTTTGAAAACAGCAAGGCTTTATGCTACACCCACTGCTTCTGGACTCTTTTGGTTTTTAATGCGGTTGTAGGCCTTAAGCGGGGAAATGCGACTGCGGGGGTGGTTGTCACTAGGGAAAAAGATGTTAACGACGAAGGCCGCACGTGTGCAAAATTGTAGTGTTCCAAAAATATGCTCCGATTCCCTCAGAATAACAGGCCCTAGAGGTTCAAATCGGTTTGCTTGAGACTTGCAAGAAGACAAAGAGTATGTTTGCTTGCTGAAGATTGTTTGATATAGCCAGGTTGCACAAAAAAAACCCCAAACAGAGAAACAAGAAACGCGTGCTGCAAGCAGGAGTTAATGTTTCTGAACAAGGAACAAAATGCTGGCAGCGAGTTGCCGGAAGGTTTTGGCTTGAAGCTGGCAAGGTCCCGAAGGCGCTGCGTAGAGCTGGCTGGTTGAAGAGGCTGTGGAAAATGGTGGCAAAATTAGGTCCTTCTGTCCCCGCTGGGTTGTTGAGCCTCTTAGGGAGGTGTGTGTTGGTTGGAAGCAAAGGCGAGCACCGATCTGTGGCTCCGTCAGCGCCCACAGCCTGGCTATAGTGGTGTGTGTGGATGTTAGTCTGTTCTTCTTAACAAGTCATTACTTGACGAATTCATCTGAATTGAACATTTCAAAGCAGTTCTCTTGGTGAATCATACCACTTGCAGCAGACCCAAGAATTCAGTTATTTATGTAGTATTTCCTGTTTGTCAAGCATGCCTTTTAACTGATGATCTCTAGTCTGAAGTTCTAAACTAATATCTCAAATCTCCCCAACCACAGATTTAGCAGCCGCGATAAAGAAGAACTTGCAAAACGCCTGACACATGCATTGCTTGCTAAGGCTGTATTAATTTTACATGTTGTTGTAATTTCAAGTGTCTCCCTATGCCATGAGAGTTTTAATCAGCTTCAAACATTGCAGGACGATTCTCCAAGCACTGAAGTTGGTGTCTTACTACATAGCTACTGTGTTTAAGGCCCCAGCTCGGAGCCTTCTGACTTTTCTCACAGAGTGCGTCCTGACTTCCCCGGGTATATTTTGAGTGTATTCCTCCTCTACAAGTTTTGAGTTGTGTTTGCAGGGCGGAGGGGACCTGTAACTTCAGAAGCTTCCAGAGAACCAAATGTAGTAATAAGTGGCAATACCAGGATGAGTTGCTTCTAGCCTGTGGGAAACTGTGAAGTTATTACTTTACTAACTTTTGCTATAGTGTCCCATTAAAAGTGCTGTGTTGTATTTAACGTTGAGTAAAAGAGAAATTTCCCAGTGTCCCCCTTTGAAGTGACGTGCACATGCATGTTTTTCCAAAGATTCTAAGGAGTCGGTGGCACCTTGTGACCAACCTCTGCTCAGAAATCAATTTATTTTTTGTTTTCCCCCCTTGACACTGGTGGTTTTCCTCAGGCTCATGTAACTCTGCAATGGAAGTGTTCTCTAAAGCCTGAGTTGTTTCTTGAAATGGTGTAAGCAGAAGTAGACTCCCGGTGACATTTCCCCTCTGACTTTTACATTAGACACCCCAGATGAAATCTTAGGTCACCAATCGATTCTGTTAGGGTTAATTGGTTTATTTGTGTTTCGGTCTGGGCCCACTAGCAGCCTGGAGGGGCTGAAGGCATGTCGTACCAGTGCTTGGCAGAGAAAGGGGGACGTTTTGCTATTCTACATGCATGTTTTACAAAATATGTACACTTGCATATGTGAATTAAGTGTTCCATTTCATAAGCTGTCACGGTGTGGTTTTGAGGCGATGCAGACCCAGACCGGCCAAACGAACTGGCTGCGTCCCACTCGGGAGAAGCTGGGGGTCTGGTCGCCACTGGTTGGTGTTGTGCACAAATCCTGCACGGAGAGCAATGCAGTGGCTCAGCCATGTCCTGCCCCCCCCCTTCACCAAAATGAAGGGAAAAACTTGGCTGATCATGAATGATACCTTTTTTTTTTCCCCTTTTTGTATTTAAAAACTTTAAAGTCATAGTAGTCTTATGCATATGAAGGTGCTCCAAAACACAGGATAACTGTTTGAACTGATGCATATTTTGCTTTTGTGGAGTGGGGAGAGAAGTTATTCAAGGCTAAAATATTGCTGGTTTTTGAATTTTGCATTTTACAATTATAATTCTGATGTCAGTGTCACGTTTCTCAGTGTCCGTGTGTTCCTGCATCCTCTGCTGCCTTCCATTTGGAACTGAGAACTTTTGTACATTAGCCAGGAAAAGGTCTGTACTGCAGAACTCCGAAACATCAGAAAGCTACAAAAAGTGACTAAGCCCTAGAAAAGAACTGTACTCTTGTTTGGTAAACATAGAGTACTAATTAATTGGTTAAAATCTGAATTCTCTTAAAAAAAAAATTCAGAATCCAGTAACAGAATGAAGTTATTCCAGCTGAAGTCTAGAAAATTTATCATTGGTCAACTACACTACTTGGAATAAGACCAGAAGGTCAAATCATTAATTTGTTAATAATTTTTACAGCCTCGCACATCATTTAGATGCTGTAGAGCTGATTAAAACTAGCAATAAAAGGGCTGGAACAAATCCCATCATCTTTCAATTGCCAGCAATACATAATTCAATCGTGGTGCCAAATCTACAAACGTCATCGCAAGAATTTCTCAGTGTGCGCATGCAAATCTGCCGCTGTTGGGTCGCTCAGCAGAAGGCGCGTGCGCGGCGCAGGCGTCCTCCGATGGCTGGCTGCCCTGGGCAGTGGCGCGGCGTGGGGAGAGTTAACGCGGGCTGGAGGAAACACGTGTCGGGGCGGCTCTGTGGTAGAGCATGCGGTGGTGGGAGAGCTGGAGAGCGGCCGAGCCCATCGCACCTGCCTCGGGTCTTGGGCTGCAGGCAGCACCATGAGAAATCAGGTAGACCTGCTGGCCACCGTCACAGTCTTGGGAGTCCTGGAGCAAGGTAAATGCCCTTTATGTAATACCAGGTAGTATGAAGCTAATTGCATTAAACTTTGTGGAACTTGGTTGCTGCCTTTTGCTTGGAGTCCCCGTGGAATGGAAGTTGCTGTTTTCCAGCGTGGAAAAGTGATGCAAATGCTTGGCTGTTGGTGGTGGCAGTGTCACACCTCAGGGTGTTCGTTCTTTAATAGGGACTAAAAGGATTCGCAAACCTCAAAGCCAGCACCCTAGAAGGAACTGGCATTGAAGTTTTACTTTTAAACTTCAAACAATTTCAGCAATAGAATGTCTTTAAAATATTTTCTGTGATTGCATTTTGGCGGGGAATTTGTAACTTACAGTGGCTGGGGGTCGCCAAAATAAAGGCAGGTGGATGAAGGGGCTGACGGAGAGGCCAGCGTGCAAACATCCATCATATGTACAGCAAGGAGCATCGCTTACGCAGCTGTTTTTCCTCTGCGTGTTCAGTTCGTACAGCCCAGCTGCGCGGAGCCAGTGCACAGTAATTTGGAAACCAGTGCGAGCCCTTCTGGTCAGAAATAGACGCAGGCATCTTCAGAGAAACCTGGCGGCTTCTCGTCATCTCCGTGGATGCACTCGGTTTAGGCCGTTTGGAAAGCAGGAGGAGCGCTGCCGAGCGCCGTCTGCCTCGCCGGTTTAACTGTGGGTGCGATGGGCAAAGGTCTCTCCCCCCGGGGCGGCAGGAGTGTGGCAGAGGGGGACGTGGGACAGAGCCCCTGTTTGGGGGAAATCTTCACATTTCTGTGAGGGAAGGTTGGGGGGGGAGGGGGTATTACTCAAATAGTTCCGTGTAGAGCTATCGAACCTCTTCGCTCGCAAATGGATGCGAATCTCTGAGCAGCCTGATGTATTTTTAGCCATCAGATGATAAATCTGTTAAAACAAGCATTATTTAAAGCACAGATAGGCTACTTGAAGAAGAGGGTTCCAGATTTCTGAATTATCAGTAATTTCCCCTCAATTTACAGAGAAATATCTGCAACTACAAATGGAAGATGCTTTTACTTTACAATTTTTTTTTGTTATTGAACTAAGTGGGGATGGAGGGAGCATTTAGTGCACAAAGGTAAGACATGAAGAGAACTTGAAATTGAGTTATGGAAATGTTGCTAAGCCCTTTCCACCGGGAAACCCTCGGCAGCAAATCCCCAGGTAACAGTTTTGTCTCAAATATGTTTGTTTTATGAGAACTTCAAGTATTTTTAAAGATTGCAGCCTTAGGCATTTTACTTTCCTGCTCTGCAAACCGCACGTAGGTGTGAAGCCAGCAGACGAGCAGCGAGCATTGGCACCCTCTTATCTCCATTATATCAGGTGAAGGACCCTCGTTTTGTGGTCTCTGCATGGAGAGCCAAGGAGCAGTGACAAAACACGACACGTTTCCTTTCTCTCTGCTGGTCCGAAATGCGCGTGCTGGTGTTGCCTTGCTTCAGAGCCGTGCTGTAGCTTTTCTTGCGTGTTTTGAAAGGACATTCTGTGGGTGAGTTACAGAGCTGAGACTCGTTTGGAGAAGGCAGAGCACTGAAACACGGACGCGTGCTTTACGTGCAAACACTCTTCCATCACATCCTGATGTAGGAGACATCGTGTAGTGGCTGATCGTAGTACAGTGTTGGGTGATTTTTATTTTCTTCCTAATTTTCTGAGTGTCTGCCGCTTCCACGTTCTTTCAAGCAACTTTCCCCTGTTTAATGGTCATGCTCAGTTTCGCACAGCTCTGAGCGGAGCGCTCTGCGGAGGTGCCCCTGCCCCGTGCTGAACGCTGCACCAGAGAGCAGAACAATGCTACCACAGTGGGGGTTTTTTTTCCACCCCCCGTTTTTTTCTTAATGGCTTTAGAGGAAATAAATCTTAGGCAATGTCACTGCCTGTCAGTCCCCACGGAGCTTGTTTGCTAGGCTCACTCCGATGCGGCAGACACCAGCTATGGCATGGGTTGACAAGGTTGTGGACATAATCAAATGGAGAGTGAAGGTCTGGCTGATACTTCCGCTGCGGAGCAAAGTGCAGGGAGAGCTCGGCCCCTGTAGCCACGTGGGAATCCACACAGGAGTTCAGCCTAGAGAGGTGAATCACAAAAACCACCTTGCAAACAACTGATTATAGCTTGTTTAAGGTAGGCCACCCTTTTTATTTGAACTTGGATAAGTTTCCCAGGCTTAGCTTTGGAAATGCTGACTACTTCTTTTTGCTGCTACTTGTTTGTGTGGCTGGGTGTTTCATTCATGTCCATGAAATATTAGCATTCCCAGAACAATGTGTCTCAGAATAGTTCAGACAAAAAGGTTTTCAAATACTTACAAATTTGTGGTAAAGTGTAGTTGGCAAATCAGACTGGAATGATATCTTCTTTGTTTTGGTGCAAATAATTTTAATTTTTTTTTCTTTCCGAATTAAGCTTGTGTATTTTGAAAAACCTAAAAAAGGAAAAAAATCTGGATTTGAATTACCAAAAGAAACCATTTAGCTGAAAAAATACTTGCCATAAGAGTGTTTTAATGTAATAAATCCTTCCACTGCGTTTATTAACCAAACAATAGGTGTAAATCATCTTCGGTGTGACAACAATAACTCGATGTTAGCAGTTAAAGGACTGAAAACTTTTTAAAACGACTATGTGAAAAATATGCAAGACAGCAAGTTCAGAACCTAAAGCTATAAATACACAAGGGAATAGTTATTTAACATGTGCTGTAATTTGCACTACTTAAATCTAATATTAGAGCTGCGGCTTTTTTATGTCAAATCTAGAATGCTTCAGCAATGTTAGATAAAAATGATCATTTCTACATTTGCTGAAATAGATTGTGGTGAACTTTAGAAGACTGCCGTATAGACTTAATCCGTGTTAACTGAGATTTATTAACTCTTATTATGAGTAGAACATAGAAAAAATGCTTTTATTTTCTGATTTTCTTCTTATTTCAGTAAAGACAAACTGCATTTGAATTTCTGTAATGATCTGCAAAGACTGGGAACACACAGTAAAGTTTGTCAAAGTGATGATGTGCATTGACTTAACTCTCCTGGTTAATAGGTTCAGTCCAGTTTATTTTTTGTGACAAGGGAGGAAAAATTCAATATATAATTTTGTGTCATTTAGAGGAACTGTGAATGTAGAATCAAGGGAGGGAAACAGAGAAAAACAATAACTATTCAAAAAATTTAAGCCTGAGAAGCAAATAGATGGAACTGCAGTGCCCAACCCCCCTAACTGTATTTGTGTACACTGGTTCAGAGTTTAAGATTCAGATAACATCCACCCCCCGTTTTTTTCTTAATGGCTTTAGAGGAAATAAATCTTAGGCAATGTCACTGCCTGTCAGTCCCCACGGAGCTTGTTTGCTAGGCTCACTCCGATGCGGCAGACACCAGCTATGGCATGGGTTGACAAGGTTGTGGACATAATCAAATGGAGAGTGAAGGTCTGGCTGATACTTCCGCTGCGGAGCAAAGTGCAGGGAGAGCTCGGCCCCTGTAGCCACGTGGGAATCCACACAGGAGTTCAGCCTGGAGAGGTGAATCACAAAAAAATTGTTTGGAAGGTTCTGGAGAGCAGCTTCCCCTAAAAGTCCACGCTGAGAAGGCTTGTGCAGTGCAGGGTTTTTTCATCACCTTGTTCTGAGAAGCGCTTGTGGAGGGTCATTCTTCATCCTTAATGCTTCACCCCTACACCAGGTTTGGAGGACCGCTAGCCGCCCTCCCAAAGGCTCCTGGCTCTTGGGTGGTTGTTTTATACATTATCTGTCCCTAAGCGTAAGGGATCTGTAGCAGGACTTGCCTGAGTATTTGCCCCTGTGTAGAAGCAAGGTGTTAAGCACAGAGCTGATGGAGAGGCTGGGTCTGAAATTATTCTGCCATGCTCGTCAGTCACAAGAACGCTCCATCAGGAAGGGTGTAGATGGCACGAAGCAGGATGAAAACTGTTGCCCAGCGCAGTCAAGCTTATGCCACAAGCCAGAGCTGCGCATGGTGCCATAACTTCAGCTCGGTCCGTTTCTTGAGAGGTGTCTGGGATGTGACCCTGAGAGCGTTAAATGGTTGTGTGGGAGAGATGCCCTTCCCTGACGTGAAGAGGGGGTAGCGGGATGGGTCACGCTCTCATCATCTTTTTCCCCGAGCTCTGCCAGCTGCTGCTGAGTTGTGGGTTGTGCGTTGCTGCAGCAACCTGGTCTGGTGGAAGATGTCCCTGCTCACTGCAGGGGGGGTGGAACCAGATGATCTTTAAGGTCCCTTCCAACCCAAACTACTCTATGATTCTGTGATGTGTTGCCTTCCGCCGCATCTCGGAGGCAGGATGATATCCTCACCCCCGACCATCAGCAGCGTGCTGCGTGTGGACCGGGAGGGGAAAAGCAAACTCTCTCCTGCCCACCTTTCTTTCCCAGCATCTCTTGTTTAGAGCTGGGCCACTGCACACGGTGTGGAAGACGCTAGAACACGCGGATGCTTTCTTAAATGAATGTCTGTGTATTTAAACTGATAAAATGTTGTGTAATACACAGGTCACATAACATCAGGCTATTTACTTTTCTAACTCCCTTTTCTTCTGCATATGTTCTAATGCTTTTCTGCAGGCACGCATGGATCTGTCTTGTCGTTAATCTTGCAACATCTGTCCATACTTTCCCTCTCTCCTGCTGTTCTGCTTTTATCTGCTTTGTTGGAGTAAGACAGTCCCCAAGGCAGTCCTTGCAGCCTGGCTCCTTGTCTTGCTGTTTGATGCCCTGGAAATGTTGCTACGTTAGGACCTTGCTAATCCAAGCGACTCGCTTAGCAGCACGCTGCCACAGCCACCAAAGTAATTGTTTATATAATTTAGTGGTCTCATGTATGAAAATCCCTATTTTCCATCAAGGCAACAATGTAGTAGTGCACCTGAAGGAGAAATACTGGAGACATCAGCAGCCACCCATGGGAGTAAGAACTTTCATCAAATAGTGAAACGGCCCGAATCTTCATGCTAACGAGGTCTCATCATTATGAAGTGACTTCCATGTCCCTTACAAACGTCCAGAGGAGCGATGTAGCGGACACTGAGTTAGCACCTCGGCCCAAACTGGGCACAGGCTGACAGCAGTCACTGGCAGCACATCTGCTGGAGCCCTGGAGCTATCCTGCAGGAGTGAAGTGGAAGAAATGATCACCTCCTTCCCCGTTTCCTTCTATTGCCATGATTATGAGCGTCTCTAATTGACTCCATGATGTCCCAGTGCTTCACAGTTTGGTTGCTGCTTGTGACATGGGGCCATCCTGGTATAAAAGCTTTGTGCCCCCTAAGTATCCTGTCAGGCTCGCTGAGGGCATACTAATACTCTTAAATTCAGAGCGCAAGATTAAAAAAGAGTAATAGTTCTATGATCGATGTGGACTCGGTGCGGGTTTAGTGTGCGTTGGGGGCCTTCCTGCAGGACCAGGGCGCGTCTGAGCTGCTGGGGAGCAGCCCCGGGGCTCTGCTGCTGCGCGCTGGGCTATGCAAAGCACCGGCGGCTCGGCGGCACGGGCGCTCTGCCACCATAACCAAATCTGAATGTAAAGCATGAGCGTGAAATAAATGGCACGTTTATTCCAGGTGGTGTGTGACAGCCTGGACTATGAACCTAGGCAGTATCAACTCTTTTCCTCTAACCAGTTGCTTGTTTCCAAGCTAGATAAAGCTTGGCTGAATAAAACACTGCTGGGCTGTCACCGCTCATGTGTTGTTCTTTTTTTAGCCTATTTTGCACTGCAGGTGATCTATGCCCGGCGGAAGTACAAGATCTCCCCTCCCGAGACCACAGGTCACCCGGAGTTCGAGCGGATCTTCAGAGCTCAGTAAGATTTTGACTTCTTTGTGGTGGCTCCATCTAGATATGACTTGAGTCAAGTGTCACTACCAGGAAAGACTGAAGGCACCCTCAAATCACCTTTTC